AGAAGGTTTGGTGGCCGTACTCCCAACACAAAAGCATAATCGAGGACAACCCCAAGCTAAAGTAAACTCGAAGCCAACCCATCGTCGCCCGCACTAGTGGGTGAATGGTGTGCTTCCCGGGGGTGGCATAGACATTCCCTCGCACGCAAAAGATTGTCTATGCCAACCCCGGGGAGCACAACATTCCCCCCCCCCCCCCCCGGGGGGGGGGCGGGGGGGCCCTCCCCCAAACCTCACCGCTGGAAATGCAATATACAAACAAAAATGGGTTTAATTGGGCTGTTTCCTCCCCGTCATTGACGGATTGATTGAGAAGACCGAAAATATTTTACACAGCTTATTTCGACAAAGCACGTTCTACAAGGTAGTGCACAATATGCACTTATGCAACGCTCTTCACAATCCTCAGAAGGGACTCTTGCTAGACACGTGAAATCACTTTCCCAATTTATCCTCGTTTTTACTTTTTTTATTCCTCTGTCTTTCTTTGTCTCGGTTGCCTCGCTCGCGCTATCACTTCCCCAAGAGTCTCCAGACAACATCGTAACTGTAAGAATTTTAAATTATATTTCATATTTACTAATATTATGTTCGTCTGACCATGTTTACTTCTTCTTACTTCTTCACGAGAAAGACTTCCCTGGCACAGGTACGTGAGCTCAGCAAACCACATTAGTATCCCAAATGCTGCCGTGCCACCTTCCGATTAACCTCCCTTTGTCTGACCTTGTCTACTTTTTCTTCTTCACATCGTACCTGCTGGAATTTTAAATTATGTTTCATCTTTATTAATATTATTTTCGTCGGCAACAAATAGGGTGCATCAGGTGCATGGATGCGCCTTTTGTCTTTAATAGAGCATGTCCACATGCTAATTGATTTATAAACAAATTAAATTATAACATGCTACAACAGGTAAGCGTTAAGGCTTAAGGTTAAGAGAAAAACAATGCAATTGCACAAGGGTCGTGCAATTATGCCTTTTTTATTTGGCAATTGGCATATCATTTGATATGTCATTTCTCAATTTACTTTATTCTATTTGACTCACGATGAAATGCTTAGAATTTTGCAATGACATTTTTTTAGTGGGAAAGCATGCAAGTGATTTTCTGTGGTTTTGAACAGGGGTGAAGTAGCCCAACTGTATTTTATATAGGTGCTCTTGCACTTGTTACATGATTATATACTTAATGATACATTAACAGAAAAACAAGCAGAAACAAAGGCATTTGAAATTGTTTCAGTAAAGCTTAATGCTACAGTGAAGGCAATAACAGTACATCTGAAGAACATTAATGCCACAGATCAATAGAGACATGTATGCAAATTGTGGGTTTTTGAGTGAAGCAAGAAGACTGTTTGATGAAGACTTGGAATGTGACACTGTTGCATGGAATTCTATGATAATGGGCCATTCCAAATGGGGTGAAGTCAGTGAATCTAAAAGGCTGTTTGATAAGATTCCTTTGAGGAACTCAGTTTCTTGGAACTCTATGATTAGTGGGTTTGTTAGGAATGGGAAGTATACAGAGGCATTGGATCTTTTTAGTGAAATGCAGAAGAAGAGGGTTAAGCCTAGTGAGTTTACAATGGTGAGCCTGTTGAATGCTTCAGCTCAGTTAGGAGCAATTGGACAAGGGGAGTGGATTCATGAATATATAAAGAAAAATGGTGTTGAAATGAATGCCATTGTTATCACAGCAATTATAAACATGTACTGCAAGTGTGGAAGCATTGAAGAAGCTATTCGTGTGTTTGAGGCAAACCCCAGAAAAGGGTTGTCCTGTTGGAACTCCACCATCATGGGGCTAGCCATTAATGGTTGTGAGGAAGAAGCAATTGAGCTATTCTCAAGGCTTAAATCTTCGAATTTTATACCGAATCGTGTCAGTTTTCTTGGTGTCCTAACCGCGTGCAACCACTCGGGAATGGTGGATAAAGCAAGGGATTATTTCTCAATAATGAGTGGGACATATAAGATTGAACCTTCAATAAAACACTACAGTTGCATGGTTGATGTGTTAGGCCGAGCTGGACTTCTTGAAGAAGCAGAGGAGCTTATACATAGTATGCCAATGAAAGCAGATGCCATAATTTGGGGGTCTTTGCTCTCATCTTGTAGGAAGCATAGAAACGTTGAAATGGCTAAAAGGGCAGCAAATCGTGTGATTGAATTGGATCCAAGTGACAGCTGCGGTTATGTGCTTATGTCAAATGTTTATGCTGCCTCTAGTCAATTTCAGGAAGCAATGAAGGAAAGGCTTTCCATGAAGCAGCAGAAGATAGAGAAAGAACCGGGATGTAGTTTGATCGAAGTGGATGGGGAGGTTCATGAGTTTATAGCTGGTGGAAGGCTCCATCACAAAGCCCCAGAGATTTATTCTTTGTTGAATGAGTTGGGATTCATGTTACCAGAAATGGCATAGGTTATGATAATTTTGTTTCCAATGACCCATGATATATATCCCTGCACAAACTTTAGTTCTTTCTCTTTTCTGTTTTGTTGGTGGTCTTTCAAAAACTTATAGGTCATTTACATACCAACCCTTTTCAGTGGGAAAGCATGCAAGTGATTTTCTGTGGTTTTGAACAGAGGTGAAGTAGCCCAACTGTATTTTATATAGGTGCTCTTGCACTTGTTACATGATTATATACTTAATGATACATTAACAGAAAAACAAGCAGAAACAAAGGCATTTGAAATTGTTTCAGTAAAGCTTAATGCTACAGTGAAGGCAATAACAGTACATCTGAAGAACATTAATGCCACAGATCAATAGAGACATGCATTGCTGCAACCATGTTAAGTTTTTGACATGGTCCGGCCTGATGCCCAGGAGTACACCTCAGGAGGCACATTGCCATTAGTGAGCAGGTTCGGTGGAAGTCCATATAAGTCCGAAATATCCAGGTGGTGGTGACGGCCATTTTGGTATTGTTGGTTTTGCAAAGCTGCAGCAACTTCATCTTCATCCAGTGGCAGACGATCAAAAGTAGCGTTCATGAACGATGCAGCCATGATCACAACAGGCCCTGAAGCAATGAGTGCACCAACCACACTCCCACCCACAACCTGGCCCTGAGCCCCTGCCAGATAGATGGTCAGGCCTGTGATCCCAGGAGGGGCTGGAGGGGGCAAGATTGACCCAAGCAACGAGAGAATTTCAAACCGGCCATGGAGGGTCACAATTGCTCCAGAGGAAGCTGGTTGTCGCAATGTGACATTGGTCACACAGCCACTTCCACTCAGTATGCAAATGCCCCTCTGCTTCCTCCTTGCAAAGTTGGTTAGGCTTTCACTCACATCACAGCCTGAACTTACTTCCATAGCATGAGCACGAAGTGCATTAGCGCTGTCACGGGTGACTATGATGGGCGGCTTTGGCTTGTTTTTGGAACCAGCTGGCCTGCCACGTGGCCTCCGGATACTCTCCCCCTCAGCTGCTGCAGAAATTGGTGGCACTGCCTTTGGTAACTTGGGTGCCATAAGTATTGCATCAATGCCAGGCCTGTGGTGGCTGTTACTTTTATCAGCGTCTTGGCTCCGATCAATTGCAGTTTTGGACACAACAGAAGGCACTGGTAGATCTGCTCCTCCTGCCATTAGTGTTGGAGCTCACTCTTTTGCAATCACCAGAGATTCACCATGAGCTGTGTTCAGAAAGTGGGTTTAAATAGCAACATTTCTACCAATAGTTTTATCAAGCAAACCACAAAGAATGATCCAGAATTAGGAGATGTTTAAGTGACACTCCACCAACCTCAAAATTTATCACTAGTTTTATCAAAACCAACATCATCACTCCTCTCACTGCCAACCTCCCAACTGACTTTTTCTTCATGTCAATTGCCTTCCCTAACAGTAACATATACCCATGTTACATGTATTATACTTAAATCATTCACAAACTCAACAACTCAGTTCCTTTAAGCTTAAGCTACCAACCTCAACTCTTTTATTTTGGCTGATAAACCATGTTAATTAAGGTCATTTAATGCGCATTTCCTGCCTTAAAAATATCTATTTAGAGAAATCGGTAAAGCAAAGAATGAGAACACTTTCACTAGGGCAATCAAAATTTGCACGCTATCCCATAGAAAATAAAAAACATGCCCCAACACAGTTTCGTAAGATACAACATTGAGGCATAAGGCACAAAACAATAACTTCTCAGTTTAGAGTATGTACAATTGGACAGCCAAACAGAACCACCATAGATTCTGAGCTATAGTAACACCCTAATTTGGCAACTCCAAACTCACTACAAGTCCCATGGGAAAAAAAGTAAAAAATGAGAAGGGGAAAAATTTTCGTTAGTAGGTCCGCTGCCAAATCTGGTGCAACTGCTGAGGTGACAGGTCTTGAATCCCAGCTAAGCTTAAATCATTGAGGCTTTGCCGGTGATGTTCTTGTGTTATGCCCATTTGGGACGGATAGAAATCGGGGTATCCTGGGGATCCATAATGCTGCAACTGTGAGGGCATCTGTCCAGCTTGCCCTTGTCGATATCCTGCATTCTGTTGATTCTGACGAAGTAAGTTGTCATATACGCTGTCTGGAACGGAAGACAAGGTTCTTGAACTCTGCAAAACACAGCAAAAAGGAACTTTAAAGTAGATAACTAACAATCAAGCATAAAAATCTATGACCAAGCCAGTGGAGATCAAACAAGAAAGTCATGGTAAACTACTGCTCAGAAGCACACAACAAACAAGAAGCTGCACAAACAAAAGTTGCGCAAAAATACTGCTATGCTTCAAGAAAGGAAGTTTTCCATATGCATAGGAAGCCAATAATCACATATTATATGCCAACTATTTGTTCCATAATAGTGGCATGCCATCCCACAAACTATATAACAAATCCTTAAACACCACCACCATTATAAACACACAATACATGTCAGATAAAAGATGGAATGAACTCCATTTACTGACTTTACAGTAAACACAAACAAAAACTTAAAACAAATATAGTATCAAGATGCTCATCTCTACCTGATGAAGAGGGGTTAAATGGCTTCCATCCTTGTACCGAGCACGCAAAGCATCATCATAGTCACTCATGCTGATGGGAGCAGCAGATGCATTTTGCAAGAAACTCCCATGAACGTTATTAGAGGCCCCAAAATTTCCATGACCACCAACAGCAGCAGCAGATGGTGGCAATCTGCTTACTGAGGCGCCACTTCTATACTGCGGAAAGTTGTAATCCATGCCAGCCACGGACTGCTGGAATGCACTACCACCTAGATATGCTTGCTGCAAAGTTGATGGTGCAGGGGAGTAGCTCTGAGTCATGGAAGGGTAGCCAATTATGTTCGCTAACTGTTCATAAGAAAGGGCAGGTTGCGAGTATGAACGGGATGTTAGGTGCTGAGGAAGTACAGAAGATGCCTCAGACATAGGGATGGAGCCTGGTCTCAGAGCCTGTATGATTGTAATGCCATGGATATCAACAAGCATTTTATTCAATTTAGTCAATTTGAAAAGAAATGTGTGTGTGTATTGAATGCGGGCCTCAAATTCATGATCAGGGGTTTAATCCACTGCAAGAGACAGATAACATGAGTGTGATGCACAAAAAGGTCACCCATCCCTTACCTCTGACACGGAAATTGTTGGATTGTTTATAGATGAAATTGCACTGCTGTATCTTGAAGGCACTGATGGTGTTACCGACAACTGTGAGTATGACTCCAATAGATCACTTCGCATAGAATCCGAATATGCCTGTGGATTTTTTTTTTAATTTTTAATTTTTAATTTTTATTTTTTGAGAGAGAGAGAGAGAGAGAGAGAGAGAGAGAGAGAGAGAATACAAGGAAATCAGACCACATGCATAATCAAAATATTCAAAGACTGAAGAAAATTAGATGGCAACTTTGGGAGACACCAATGAAGAAAGCAAGAGAGAGATCCAATACTAGATGATGCGATGAGATGGATAGAGAACAGATCTATGATCACTTAAAACACCAAAATTTCCCTTTCTTAAGAACCTACAAAGATTCAACTGCAGATTCAAGAATGGGCAAATCAGCAGTTAGAAGAACTAGGGACACCAACAGATTGTAGATGTGCATAATTTCAAATATAATTTTCTTTCATGTGTACACACATGAAAATTCTTAGGAAAACCCCAGTACCATGACAAGTATAATAAACCCATATACCAACTTCATGAACATCAAATGATTGAAGATAATGTACAAATCATGGTTCAATTAGGATCATCATTTAGATACAATATAATGTAATTGTGTGGCACTTAGATAAGTCGTTCCAATGCACACAAGCAACTACTGATCAAATTCAGTCAACAAATGAGAACCCTTCCTTAATTCAGCAGCAAACAAATATTCTTTAAGTAAATTTAGGTTTTAGCCACAAAAAAAATTTCACTTTTGGAAAAAGCCAAAACTTTTTCAAAAAAGACAGAAAAACCTCTCAACTTTCAAACCAAAGACATGCAAATGTAAAGGATTCCTTAGGATATCCAAAAATAAATAAGGGCAATTTTGTCCATTTTGGCTTCTTTTAAAAAATTTCTCTCTCCTTTGATCTTTTCCAAAGTCTCCCTATTCTTTATGAGTTGTGAAAACCACAGAATACAGAAAGTTAAGAATATAACTCTACCATATCATTTTGACGAGGAGGAATGTTTCTGAATTTGGGATCTGCCCTAGCAAAAGACGATCCAGAACTTGCTCTTTGGATGTTCTCCGAATCAAAATCATGTAGAGATGAGGCGGAGATGTCTTTATGTCCAAGTGTAGGTTCAAGGATATCATGTTTTATCAGCTCTGGCTGAGTCAAGTCATAACGTTTAGCATCTATGGTTGTCCTTCCTGTATCATATAAGGATCCAAGAAGTTCGTCATGATTGTACCCTGAATTGAAAGACTCATGCCTTGTATCCAAGTGCCCGGTTGATGAAACATTTATTCCTGTGGAGAATCCTCCCAAGTCATTTTTCAAGGAATTAGATGGCGACCTAGAAAATGCAGAACTAGGGCCTGATCTGAAGGTGCCAAAACTCAAATGCGAACAATCAGCTGCCAACTCTTGCAAATTATTTGGAAGGACTACTGCACAATTATCTGTAGGCTCCTCCTTTCCTAAATTTAGTTGTTGCATGTTCATAGTAGCTGATGATACAGCCACAGCGACATCATTGGAGACAGAACGATTTGGACATGACACATTTGAACCAAAGCCAGTTCCTGGAATTACACAAACACAATGAACACAATAAAGACAAAAGAAAAGGTAACATAAACTTTGGGTGGTAAAGATAATAAACTTTAAGAGTAAAAACATAACCGTTTGTTTTCTTTCAAATATTTAACCATACGACATGAAGGTAAATTTGCAACCCTTCTCCACCAAAACTATCACACACCTTCATCAAAGACATTTCAGTTTCACAAACCAAATCCAAACCTGACCACCACCCTTTCAAGTTTCGAATCCCAGGCTCTGTGCACTAGGGTAGAAGATCACATCAATAACTACACAAATCTAGTCCGAAAAAGGGATTTAGGAAGATAAAAAAGCATCAGGTCTTCTATTATAAAAAGAAAATTATTTCGCAAAACAGTCAATTGGCTATGCAAGCAACTTCCCCAGTAAATTAACGATTTCAATCAAGGAAGGTTGAAGGAAAAAGTGACAGGAACAATTTTTATCATGCAGAAAAATCAAATATATTAGTAAGTAAACAAATAAACTTATGCTGATACAGGTCGAAAAAATCTTCGGAACATAAAAGAAACAAAAAGTGAAATTATAAAGGCAACAAAGGAAGTTAAGACAAAACGAGACACAGAACTGTGCTTCACTCAGCCAAAGATTTTAGACCTAACAAATCAAACAAGCATGGATACAAATCATGCTACCAACCCAAAAGTTCAGGCATTGATATCTGCATTGTTCACTTAATAGCTATCCAAGCACAAGAAGCATCATGGTTTTTGTAAATGTTATCCATCACAATACAAACAGTATCAGTAAAGTAAATTACATTGTTAGAATTGTGTTTCATGCCAGTATTGATCTGGATTCTAGCATCATGAATGTCATTAGCAATGATATCTTACTTCAAACGTTGACAAAAGAAAAAAAAAATCATCCCAAATTCATATTTAAAACAAAAATAATTACCTTCCCCATTCTCATATGCAGACCTATGAGAATCATAGGAACTAGAATTAGAAGACAAATCATCAACACAATAAGATCTTCCACCAGAAGCATCCACCATCTTCTGTCTGCTGGAAGCAAAAGCATAAGCATTGTGGTCTGAACTAAGATTTTGACAACTATAATTCCCCTCTGATACTTGGACTTTATGAGACTGGCAGTCCCTTGGCAGGTTGGAGTCATTGATATAGAGATTAGATTGATTAGCATGTATCTCAACATTTGCACTTGAAACTGATGACCTACTTGCAGCTGTGGGCTGCTCAATCACAGGCCATTCATCATGGAAGGCATTCTGTCCAGAAGTATCACCAGGTTTATGGATCATCTCTGATACACGAGAAGGATTCTGAGAGTGCATACATCGGTGGTGCATCTCTGGTTCCATAAATGCAGAAG